GCTGAGTGAAGGAGGCAAGGCAAAGAATGGCTGAACTAGTGTAAGGTCAGAGTCAGCTCTCCACCTTCATGCAGCATTAGCATCACTACGTTCGTGTAGTTGTGTGTCCACCTAGAGCAAAAGAACCTTTTACCCCGAGTGGATTCTTGGATGGTGGAGAGATCCACGGGATGGGAAGAGCCAGCGGTGGCCGAGGGTGACTTTGCCCGCGTGGGACAGATTGTTGAAAAGGCCCAAGGCAGACAAGAGCTGGCCAGCGTTCCACTCGAATAGCTCAGGATAATTCGGCGGCAGCGCGTACGGGAAATCGTGGGCACAGTATTACGAAATGGCGTCCAGGTTACCGAGCTGATTTGGCCCGGATCGTTGGGCGACTCGGACCATGTGGGGATCCAGGGAAGCCAAACCCCCTGGAAGGCGTTCGGAAAGGAAGGGTTCTAGGTTGTATTCTTTGCCTGGGACCTTGGGTTCCAACGGGCAGAACAGACGGATGCACAGGATCGCGCAGGCGACAGGCGTGTGAATCGGTGGTGGGGTGGCAGTCAAGTGAGCCGATGTGCCGAATGAAGTTCTAGCTGCAGCTCGGTTACCAGAGTTGGTTCACTCGCACGACAGGACGTCGCATCTTGGCGCTGGCGGAGGGCCTCACATGTCAGATTGGCCGGAAATCAGTTCGCGTGGGCGTGGGTATATGTCTTGTGGCGCACATCGGCGGGATGAGGTATATAGAAGCTGTGCTAGCGGATCTTGGAGAGAGAGATCGTCGCGCGATGAGCCTTTCATGGTGTTCTGCCCGTGGCGAGACACGAGGAGCAAGGTGATGGCGGGTGGTAGTGGTAGGATCATTAGTTGCGAGATGCCTGCGCTTGTTGCCTTGCATGAATCGTTGGACCGTCTATCGCCCTGTCTTTCTGTGCGGCTTTCTCTCCAGAGAGACGTTGGTAGATCGATTCGGGACGATTAGGGAGGATGCACCAAACCCGAGAGACATTGAAAGCCGTCGGGGAGATACAGAAGTCCTTTTGCCCTTCAAATTGCGGGGCCCGGTGGTGGTCCTCTCTGCCGGACAATTCGTCGAGATTCGGCGAGAGAATTAAGGATGAAGAAAAGCTTGACTTCAAGCATGACCAGGGCCGAAGTGCAGAGGAGAGAAACAGCCAGTCATCGCCATGCGCAGGGCACCTCAGTCAGAGGAGGAAAAGAGGGGACGGATGGGATAAGATACATCTGAGACGTCACTCCTTCCAGTTTAGCAACTCGGAAGGTGCCATTGCCTAAGGTACCTTATGATACACCCATGGTGCCTGCCATGCCCGGCTAGAGGACGTTTTGGTCGGGCACAGGAAGGAAAGAATGATGCGTGGATGCCAACGATGGAAGCGCGTGCCTGCCAGTAAGAAATGTGTCACTTTCCACCTTGTCCAAGTCGGCAGGAACAAACACCAAGACAGAAGGAACCGAAGGGAAGGAACCCCACTGTTGCCCACCCATTTCCTGGGAAGGAGGTCCTCAAAAGTTGGCCATTGGTTGGTCCACCGCCCGTGGTGTCATTTTAGGCTGTGGGGCCGTTCCAATGGCGCCGAAGCAAATTTTTATCTGATGCCGCCCCGTTTTTTCCAATCTTATCAGATCATCTTGCTGCCTCAGGAAAGACATCGCCTCTACCACGTCCGCCCGAACTTCCAATTTGCACCTATTCCCATCTCGTTGCCCAGTGACACAAAGATTCTTTTTCTCGAGTTTTCAACCCATCATTCCGTCCAGGACCCGACACAACAGCCTGCTGATCCCGCCAAAGTCCCACTCTGCAACGTAGGGCTGGACATCAATGACCTCTCCATCTTGAGCTGGACACGCGCTGCTAGCCTGCCATCTTGCTTGCTTGCATCCGCGTACCTGGGGCCACCACCGTTACATTGCGGTCCGATCTATGTAGCATTCTGCCAGCTTCACAACCAGAATGACCCAGTTGCCCAGCCTTGGCCTTGGCTTTCAGTACCTGTGCAACTCTCCATCCCGTCCTGTCACCATTTTTAGAGTTGAGCTTGGCGCGAACATCCCGTTCCGATGCTGCCGCGTTGCAATCGAGTTCCAATCACTACCTTTAGCGGGAGTCTTTCGTTCTCGGTTGATTTTTTACCTGTCCATTGATTAAGGCTCAAGAGCAGTCTGGTGACCAGGGCGTCTTGGCTCAGTGCGCGTTCCGATGATTGTTTTCCTACCGCGGCTGTGTAAAGACCCGACTATCGGCCCTTCAAGCTTACGAGTATTCTTATTGCAGATGTCCCGCCGGCTTTTCGCTGTGCCACAGGCGAGAAGCATCAAGATTCTGCTAAGGCTCACTGTTGACTAACAGATACATTGCCTTGCATTGGACCAGCAGGCCGGATCTGCACCAATGACATTTCCTTGCGCCTTCCACGGCACTTCATAATACCTACTAGTAGTCTATAGATATTCTACGTCTGGCTGCGTGAACAATGTCTCAGACCTCGCCGGGCCAAGGTTTTACAGCTCGGATTCCGACCGAATAATTACAGCTTTTCAACGGCGCCTGCGGCAAAGATGGTGGTCTCGAATAGGAAAGCCACATGATGCTGAGCGCCACACACCCTGAATTTTATTTTCAGGGCACAACCATCGTCCCTTTCGTCTTCTTCTGATAAGCAATACGTGAGAAAAGAGAGGCTCCAACAGTAGCACAGCAAGATGGACCCTCAGTGACCCTTTCGAGGCTACTGCGTATGATCTCCCACCACGCGACCGAGCTGCTGGGCCAAGCATGCCAATCCGTCCGTATCCGTAGGAGAACCAGCTTTACTAGTGGCGCCACATTAGCGCCATGGTTCTCGCCCCTTCTAGGTAGCTCGATGCTACATTTCTCACCCATCGAGCTATCCTTACCTAGCCCAGATCCACAGATCCCTGAGGGATGGTTTGCCTGTAGGCACGATCAGAGGATATTGAAGTGGGATGAAAGTCTCTCCTCTAGCACTCTGCTAGCTTGATTCCACAGTCGGCCGCTGCTAATATCGATCCTTGAGCTAATTACTTCTTCGGCCGCCAGGCTCGGTTTGCCTGGTTCAGACTCTTTTCCGACTCCCACCGACGCAAGAGCCGCCGAGTAGCAAGTACAACGCCTAGATGCCAGCCAACAAGCAGCGCAAGGATGTTTCCGTGCCCACTTGCGACATCGGCCCACCATCAGGTAGACTATCGTGGGGGCGAGTACTTACACTTTGGACTGTCTGACAACGATTTCATAATCGGAACCTCAATTCCGGCAATTTCCTCCGTGAGAAGCTACCAATGGAAGCATTGCCACTCAGAAATCAAGGGACACATCGGGTCTCCCGATGATTCGAGGCCCGTCTGCTCCGTACTACTACAACATCAACGATCCGTCCCGCGTTACCAAAGATCTTTTCCAAAGTATGCCCAATGCAAGCATCACACACCGTTTCAGTCCCGCGTTACGCGTCGCTGTCGTCGTCTTGTTTTGAACAACCCCAGGCTCATCTACAGTTTCGCGCAGCGAGATAAGGTTGTCATGCGATGACTGAGACATGGACACGAGAAGGCTAAGTTTCCCAGAGCATCGATCAATATGCATATTCCTTTCAATGGTACTTTCTGTTGAGCCAAGTAGTATCATGTCTATCGATTTATGCCGACGTCTTTTGGAAGGCGAAGCCAGTCTGCCGAAAATATGGTCCCTTGAGCCAGGAGCATAGGTACCTCACAGGATCAGCTGTATCATTTGGAGTGCAGGTTCTGAGAGTGTGGCTTTGTCAATCACTTGCTAAGTCCAGATTTCAGGCAATATAAACACACCTTATTCTAGATCTTATGGTCTGGAGCGCGGCAGGCTCCGGCTACACCGTTGCTATCTAAGCTATCAGCTTCAAGGTCCACAAATCTGAATCGTTCGAAGAATTCGACTCTCGAAGAGTGCTCTCAGGTTCATACCTCAGGCTGGAAGACGGAGACCACAAGGTTATGGTCTACGAGCACCATCGATATTCATAGAGTGCTAGTTGCGTTGTAATGAGCAGCAATATCATGCTCCTGCGAAACACCAATCAGTTCCCCTCTGCCAAACGTGGGTATCGCCACCATTTCCAGGCCTGATGCAACTTGCCCACCGATGCACTAGCGGTAGCTGAAAAAGAGAACGTCTGTAGAAGGTGAAGGCGGTCTGACAGACATACTGCTTGTACAAATTGAGCCATATTGATAGTGCAATTCGAAGTCCCTAGCTGCATCCCGGCTTCGTCCATTTTCTCAGCGGGTTGATGCCCGCTTTGAAGGTCTGTAAAACTTCAATATGAGTTCCATGCATACACGACACCATACACAACTTCTCTAACAGACTAAAGCGCCAGACCCCAATGTTGGCGCTCCTCGATCTCCTCATAAAGTTTGGACTTATCAATAGTATCAGCGTTCCCCGGAGCTTCTAAGCCGGGTATGTGCGCGAGGGTCTTCCGAGTTACATTCCAGTCCTGTGGCCCCACCTCGGCCGACACCCGATAATAATGCTCAAAGTCTATGTATTTCTCTTCAGGATCTCTAAAAAGTTCAAGATCAAATAACTTAGAGAACGCGTTTTAAGCTTCGTTAGTACCAGGCATACCACGTGGTATTAACACCAAACGTTCTAGGCCTTTATGAACGCTCCAGTTCCCCGCGACGGATTTCGAGAGGGGAGAGTGATGTCATGGCGACATGGGCATCAGTCGACACGTCCCCACGCGGCTCGACTGCGAATGACGGGCAAACTTCGCGTGGCTACGTCATCCCAGGCACATTCTAGAACTTTAGACGGCGGAAGACGTTCTCTCTAGGTGAATGAGCAAATCAGTCTTGAATATTTACAGTTACACTACAACGCATACCTGAACGACGGGATCCTCGAGAGCTCGAAGTCATACTACCTCTCTCACATCGGACAACGCCTTCGCCGAAGCGCACAAACGCAGATCTAGCGCTAGTTCGATATGGCAACACAAGCAAGTGAAGACAAGTCGCATCCGAGACCTCCTTCCACGGAGCCCGACCAGATGGATCAAACAGCGAAGAGGCAACCAGCACAGCAACAGCCGCAAAAGGCAGAACCACCGCATAAGACCGAGACGGAGGAAAAGATTGAGAAGGAAACTCCACGGTTGGCTAGTGGTGCTGCAACGTCTACGTCGGAATCTAGCACACAGCAGGACGGATTCCAGCGCGTGACACGAAGATCGAGAAGCCAACGACACAATCCAGCCAAACAACTCGGACAAGTTGGGCAACAGCAGGTCGCACCTCAGAACCACCAAAACCGACAAGTGCAGACTAAGAGTAGCAGTGGGGCGCCTTCCGTGAAGCTAGATATGAACTTGGATGTCGACATTGATCTTAAAGCAAAGATTAAGGGCGATGTAACGCTGTCTGTATTGTGAGTTCATACACTTTCATCTTCGTCGCGTCTCGTATCCGGGACAAAATGCCATGCTAATGCCAGCCTAGAGGAGGGAATCAGAATAAAAAGTGATCTTTTCGAAGGGCAGAATCGCGGTGATGTTTGACTTTGTGCGTGTGATAACCAAGATCGAATCGCATGCTCCATGCTCATGAGTCTTGGTTCCTATTGCGATACAACTTAGACATCTAGCGACACTCGAACGCAGCAGGTTCTACCAAAGCCGATCCGATCAATGTTCTCACGAGATGCTATTGCTTCCGCAACCGCAAGTGCGAATGTAGAATGGAAGTTATACGCGTCTTCAACAAACCTACTCCCAGGCCAGTTTCTCGGCAAGTCAATAAAGCCAATATCTCGGATCGAATCGCCGTGGAGAGTTAAGACTTGGATCCTATCCGGCAGGTCGCTAACACCGGAGCAGAATCCTAAGGGCGTTGTAGACGCGGCGAGGCGCGACGCCACGCCTCGCTTATTATTTTGCCAGTCTTGCAGTGCCCTCCTCCGGGCTATCTTGTGCGGCATTTATGATCTTCTCGCTGAAGAATGCGACGGACTCTTGATGCCGCTCTTCGAGGACCAGCTGGTTCACGCAAAAAAGAGCGGCGCTCATCCCCTAACGTCTAACTTCTATCGAGAACGCCGCTTCGGGCATATCTACCTCAGCAGCAGGGAACTGGACGTTGGCGTGAACCACGAGACTGGAAGCCGGCAGGACCGGTATGCATTCCATTTTCTTGGTGTCAGCCGATGTACTATAGTGATTCCTGAATGACACCTCCATGATATCTAGTGAGATCGACTACTTGGGTTTGGATGAGCTTACCGGTAAGGTAGTTTGGAGCCAGACGGAAAGCGACTCCTGACATACTTCAGACCGTCCCCAGTACTCCGGGATTTCCACAAAAGATGAAGCACAAAAGATCTCGCGTGATGGGCGTAGTATTTGTCGGAGAAATTTTGGGCTGTGTGGGGTTGGTCAATCGAACAGAGACAACAAAGATGAGAGAGTCTCCCAAACTTGAGTCAAGGGAGCAAGTCGCAAAATTTTGGCCAAGTAGCACTGAGAGGCGCAGACGCAACTACTTCCTACCTAAATCAAAGAGTTAACAGCAAAGGATGCGGACAGACCATGAAAGGATATGTCCATGGAGCAGCAACCAAGTTCGAACACCCGAAGGTAAATGAGAGCCGATGACCTTCAGCTGAACAAGCCATGCCCTGAATCATGGCCGGAGGCCGAGACCGAAGCCGGCGGTGGGGTTTCTCTCAATTGGTCTTTGGGATTCCGAATTGGTGCCAAAATAAGGTGAGGTTGAGATGAGGGCAAGATACCAGCTGTAGATGGAAAAGGTCATGAGCTCTTGGCAGGAAAAAAGGAGATTTCGAGTCGATGAACACTTGTTCATCAGCGTTTGTTCAACGATGCTTATTGGTGCACGTTAGCAAGTGCACCAACGTTTGCTCACCAGCCTTTGTTCCCTTCAACAAAACTGCCGTCACCAACAGACATGGCTTCTGTGGGGCCTGGATTTCGGCAAGGTGAGATCGTGATCTCGCAAGCTCATATACACTCTTTGTAGCATCAAGTTGCCCGCAAAGATGAGCGATGTTGGCAACTTGGCACTGATAGCTGTCCTGAGAATGGCTTCAATGTGGCTCCGTCATCCTGGGGAACTACCAAACATAGATATGAAAGACGAGGATGAAGTGAGCATAGGGTAAGGTATAAAATACTCATCCTAGGCTCTCGAATCTACAGAGTTCTATTCAATATGCCACACATCTTGCTGAACCAAACGCGCCTCAGTCTATCTCGCCACCATGATCTCTACTTTCCTCATTCTACTCTGCTGTGCGGCTTTTCGAGTGTGGGCAGCTCCTGATGCTCACAAGAACGGAGCGAATATTCCCACATTCGGCATTGCCAACATTCAAGACGACCCAGTCGCATCTGATCGGACTGATTTTAACTCAAAGAATCAACCAGCGACTAGGTCCACGCCGCCTATCTACGACATTCCGAGTCCCAAGTGTACCAACGATGATAAAACCTTCGCGCAGCAAAGAGCCGAAAAATTCATTGACTACTTCTGCACCAATAAGCTGTTTTGGATTTATACCTTCGCTCCTCCCATCTCACTCGGGCTTGATCATACAAGTGATGGCCGCAAAAAGGTACCCGCTGCTGGGGCGGGGTATTCCATCCCAGGAAGCGGCGAATCGGTATGGATAGGGCTCATGTTCTCTCGCGATTCTTGCTCGGGCTTCTTTCCATTTACCCTCGGAAATACCGACGACGAGAAAAGAGACTATTGCAAGAGACGCTTTCGAGCCATACTGAATGGCTGTGGAACAGATACTACAAAGAAAGGGGGTACGTTGGTAGATGGATGCCGGGTATACCAGATAGCCGTCGCCACGAATAATCCTTTCACTACCGATGAGTTGTATAAAGATAAAGGAGAGTTGAAGTGCGAAAACCCCCCAAAGCCGATTGCCAAGGGCTTGGAGGAAACTTGTACCTGCTACTACACTGGGTATCCTGGACTTATTGATTTCTTCGAGCGACCCGCGAGTAACTTGTGCGAGGCTGGGAAAGTTGATCTGAAGAAACTAGTCATCAATTAGTTTGAATCAGTATGATCATCAACTGATGATTCTTAACCATAGGTATCCAGAGAATAGACAATTCTTGGTCCCTTTTTCTCACAAACTACTGATTTCTCCATATCTTGTGCAATGAAAAACCATTTACCGAGGATGGGAGGAAGCACTCTTCCCCATCCGCGCCTAGTATTTCGCTCGATCGTTAGAATTTTGACCCGACCACCAATTTGGCGGAAGCTCTAAAGCTCGTTAAAGAAAAAAAGACGCGTCATGTAATGCAATCAATATTCCCTTTTTGATTAGAAAAGACAATTATATATGTTATTGATACCAAGGGGATTTCCTCCTGTGCTTATTTAGAAGTTTACGTTTCGGCTTAGACCTCGTCAATAACATCCCACCGGGATACAGTATTGGGGTCACTACGGATAGAGGGGTTCATTCGCTGTGGCACTCTGCTTTCGACAGTGTGGGAAGAAAAAGGAGTGAACAGGAATGGCATCTGTTTCACCGCCTACCCCAACCCAAGGGCTCACATACTGTCTTACACGACCCCTTGCAGATAAAGCCTGGAATGAGGAGTCATAGGATGTACGTGGCATCACGAATTCACGCTTGCAGTCACGCACCGCCCTTGATACCGCCACTATGATGCGACATGCATTTCCCATAATTGCAGCAGCGGCAGCCACCTCGGCACGTATACCGAGAAGTCGCATCAACTCACGTTGGGCTTACAGAGGCATCGTCACGGATCTAGATCATGAGCTTCCCAACCTAGGAAGGAGGCAGTCAAATGATATTCGAGATTCTATAGAACGTTGACTACACCAGCTTCCGAAGTTGAGCAAGGCATTCGGCCTTGGTAGACGAGGCATCTAACAGAGCTAATACTTCAACTGCCCCATAGTCCTTATTATTAGATCGCACAGTTTTCGCAGGGATATAGAGAAGGGTAGGGTAGAACAGAGTGTCATAGATCACGACTACCATTGTTGAGCTTGTGTCGCAAGGATGGTTTAGCGTCCGCATTTAGAAACTAGTCGAAGCTTGTTCAAGCGAACCAGGATACATTGGAGATTCGAAGTCAGAATCGAGGGGCCTGGAAGCATCTTCATGTACAAAAGAGAGACGCGTTGAATGATAAAAGTCCCTTCAGTATGTGTGGCTAAGTTGGCCGGCGACATTGGTCACCATAAGTTCCACAACTAATTCTTGCAAATTGGTTCCATTCACGCCTCCTTCATGTTTCTACCAACCTCGATGATTGCACGGGATTCTGAGCCGGGAGACAATTCTCTTGAAATCCCGGGTATCTTTTTCGGTATCTCTATGGGCTTAACAATACTAGCCACTTTCAAGGCGTCCCAGCAGACCGTTCAAATTTACTCAAGAACAAAGTCGGCGGCCAACCTATACCCTTGGATGTGAGTTACTCAGGCCTATCTGTGTCTCCAGTTTTGACGTACTCTACCCAGGATCTGGATTTTCCTCCTTGCTAATATATCCCAAGCCGTCACAAATTGGCTCCGAGCTCGCGGAGACATTGCAAAAAGGTAGAACGACCTGAGATACGTTAATCTCTCTCCTGGTCTTTCTAGCTGACAGGTGGCAGCATCGGTTTCGTTCTTTCAACGTTTTTACTCTGGATTCTACAAACACAACTCGCCCCCCAAGTCCTTGCGAATCGACTAGGGCTTCTCCTAGTAGACAAAAAAAGGGTAAGGATGATGAAAATCGTGTTGGTGGCCATAGTTGGGATCATCAATATTTCAGTGACTTGCATATATCTTGCAGGGTACTTTATCAACTCGGAGTACTACACGCATCTGCACAAGATCTGGGATCCTATCGACAAGGTTGTTGATTTGCTAATCGACATTTCGCTGAACACGGTGTTCCTACGGATTATTCAAAAGGAACTCATTGCCAACGGTCTTAAGAAATATCGGCTGTTGTTCTACTTTGGCATTGTCTTCGTGTTGATCTCGTTATGTATGGATGTAAGTTACCCAACATGCGCACCCATACGGTGATATGACTTGACTGCGTCCAATATACTCGAGAGTACCCACGTGGAATGTCGTTGACCTCTTCTCTATCAAAGGTTTTCATGATTGTCATGATGACTGTACAGGAACCATTCCTCTACTCTATGACTCACCCAATCGCCTACACTATCAAACTGATTATCGAAATGACGATGGCGGATTTGCTATCGACGATTGCAAAAAGACCACACCAAATTCAAGAGCTGTCGGAACAGATGTGTATGGATCAGTGACTTCATTCTCCTAATCAAATCCCTCTCCCCTCATGCCGTGGTATGAAGGTATGGTGGCTCAGCTAGGTTATAACATACTTGTACTTAGATTCCAGAAGACAGTCACATCTTGTCAACCCCGACTATGTCTAAGTCAGTATCAATGAAGTAGATATGTAGGGTTATTTGAAATACTTCCATATCAGTGAAACAGTAAGCCGTTGGTGTTATAAGTGCAGCAGCGGTCATATATATTTCAGCCAAGGCCTATGGCCATTTCCTAGCGATTCTTGGGAGCTTCGCGTGGGCTGAGGCGTCTTCTGCATCCTACCAGCCCCACTACCCAATCCGTCCACTGAAGCCCTATTATTGTGTTACTTTCTGAAACTTTGACAGTAAATTACCAACGTAGATGTTCGGACTTTGGTCTTCAACATTACGACCTTACAGCCTTCGAAATTACGACGTCATAGCGAGCCCAAATATTTGAAAACTAGAACTTCCTATCAATGTCAGTAGACTGACTAATTACTCGAGGCGCATATCTCCCACGAGCACCGCGACACCGAAGCGTTCAGAACAAGATCTCCCCCAAGTTAACTGATTACTCCTTGCGTTAAATACAAGACCGATCAGACACGATCGTCTCCTTTCCAACCCGCTGTCGCTGTTGGCAAGTGTTCAGCCTCGAGTCCTCTTAGCCACGCATCATGTATCGATCGTGATTTCGACACTAGCTGTTCCAGATACCGCAGGCTCTCTTGGATCGTGCGGCTGTCTCTATGATCTCGGCAAAGCACCGAGGGTACTTTGGGGGTTCCAGGGCTGCGTTGACTTGAGGCCGCTCTTTCACCTCAGGCGCTTTGGGTAGGCCCTATGGCTATCAATCATGGAGCAGCCGTCCATGATGTGGACTTCGGGGGCGAAGTGCAGGAGAACCTCCCGACAGCGGGGTCTAAGGGCGGGGAAGAACGGCGCTGTTTTCCCGACGTGCTTGATGCCCAGGTCCCCAGTCACCGGCAAGCCAGATGAGGTGTGTAGAATCCTACCCAATGCGGCATCTTCATGAGGTTTTGTGGTGACCGCTGCATAGTGTGCTGTCTGTTTTGTCTGTGGTGTGAAGGAGGTTTAGTTGGTGGTACTTTTGCTCATTTATCTTTTAAGAACGGTATTGAGAATGAGAAAGCAAGAACTGGCCCAGCATTGAAGAGAGGGCGGGTTCCTTACGCCCGTCTCGTCGACGTCGAGGTCTCCTGGGCTGGAAGTTCTGGGGCAACAAAGAACATCTCCAGTATGTCAACCACACCGTGAGTAAGTCCAGCGTGGCGTGAAGCGGGCCAGGAGGGTAGAAGTTATGGCGGCGCACCCTGAGGCGACTTGGAACTTGACGGCTTTACCGTCGAGGCCGAGTTCACGACCCCTCTAGGCCATGACGGCGCTGGGGGCTCTTTTGGGTGTAGAGCCATACTTCGCTGGAATAGCTTATTTGATTTAATAAGAAAGAAAACGTCTCAATACAAAGGATATATGAGTGTTGTGTAAGTATTTACGTAATTGTCTCAATCGTCAGAGGCACTGGACTTATCGACCCCATCATTGCTCTCGTCAGACTCAAATCTCAACGTTCGACAGTCTTATCGGGGTGACGTCTTCGCTACCTTAGTATCCATTGTATAGGTCAGACTTTCGGAACACAATTAACGAACGTTTCCCTAGTTCTACATTCTCGTGGAACAGTGTTACGAAGCTCTTCTATTGATAGCTTGTGACCACACCATCAGTTAAAGCCTTCCAAATTAAACATCGATGAGGGGCTTGTCTCGCTCGCGATATCAGGAAATGCATTCGGTCAATATGACATTTGCAATTAAGCCAATAGCAACACTTTCATGACCAAGACCACCACCTGTTTGTCAAATTACTAAGTAAGCATCTAATAATAATTAGCGAGTTGTACATGGATACAGAAGACGTACTTACCTTTTACTACTTTGTACTTATCGCGACCGTCAACTTTGGGAAAACGTTGATCCTAGGTGAATGCACTGATTAATCACTCGATTCACTCAGTAAGTTTCCTGCAAAGTCTTTGAAATTACTGTATTTATATCAAGGCATATGCTTGATCACAGCGTAGCAAACGTCAATAGTATCTCGACTCATTATCGGTAGGTGTGCAAAACTTTGGCGTGGTTGAAGCAATGGATGCCGAGCTTGCAAGTATCCACAAGTCTCGCAAACTACCGAGCACGGAGTCTCCAGGGTTCCCCTCTGTGTTACGCGAATCTTACCTTGTCACCTTCGTGTGCAGCGGATGCAACCTCGAAATAGCATGTGGAAGCCCTTGAAAATGGCATGAGAATTGAACAACCAGTCATACCTAATCAGCTATCCGAGCCTAATGATTCGCCGGGGGCAGCGCAGATCCCCACGGGGCACCATATTCGCTTTTGAATCAGTGTCTAGCATTATCCATCACCTTAGCCCTATTGCAGACCTGCGTCCGGAGTGTGTCTCCTCCTGCAGCAAATAAGGTCGAAGCAAGGTGGGACAGACTCCGCAAGCAGTCAGCGAGATGTTGCATCGCGGGCCAGGATGGAGTTGAATCTGTAACCTTTTACTGCCAAATGGAGTTGGCGAGGTTTGTTAGTGCTCACTCTTCGGACTGACCAAGTGGCCCTACTGCCGTCAATTGCAATACGGGTACCCGGTAACCTGGCCGATCTAGTGCCCAGGGGTCTTGATGCAAGAATCGTATTTAAGATGCAAGCGCGCAACAAGGAAGATATTAGCAGTAGGAAATTTCCCCAAAAGTTTTCTGTTTTTCTTATCACCCTCACGTTCAAGCGACTATGGAGATCTTTTCACTGTCTATCGGTTTCGTCGGCCTTTTACTCATCTCTTTTGCTGTTGAGAGAGTCTTGAATAAGTTGAAGAATGGAGGGCGACCCCCGTTGCCCCCCGGTCCCAAGGGTTTACCGGTTGTGGGCAATGTTAACGACCTACCCAAAGCTGGCGAATTGGACTACGTTCACTGGCTGAAGCACAAGGAATTATACGGTCAGTTCTGGTCTTGGAATTTGACGGCATGATATTCAGTGTCAAAGAAAGGGGAATTCTATAGTGTGGAGGGCGTAGCTGACTTTCTTGTGTTAGGTCCCATTAGTTCTATCACAACCATGGGTCAGACCGTTGTGATACTCAGCGATCCACAACTTGCTTTCGACCTCTTGGATAAGCGCTCATTGAAGCATTCCTCAAGACCTTCACAAACGTTTATTGGTGAGATGTATGTCACTCTGGAGTGTCTTGCGGATTCGTGGAAAGCTCTGACAGGAAGAAAGGGTCGGTCTCGAGCATATCACTGGCATGGCCGTCTATGACGAGCGATTCCGCGCACAACGCAAGGCCATGGGCCGTATCCTCGGCTCAAAGATTGCTGCAGCGAAATACAACGAGTGGCAGGAGGCTGAAGTCGGACATCTTCTTCTGCATCTGCTAGATGACCCGCAAAATTTTGTAGAACACATCAAGAGGTAATCGAAAGGGTGCATTGTGGCAGAGACGTCTAAGAGTCGCCTAAGAATCATCTAAGTGGCCCTTCGCTGACCAAGTCTTACAGAGAAGCGGGATCACTAATCCTCAAGATTACGTACGGCTACACCGCGGAACAATTCAAGAAAGATCCTTTCCTCAACATGATTACCGAAACCATGGACAACTTCTCGACGGGCGCTACACCCGGTGCCTTTATCGTTGATGTTTTCCCCTTCCGTTAGTCTTGTGCCATGCTTCTGACCGAAAGACTCTCTAACTCCTAGCAGTGCGATATCTACCCAGCTGGGTTCCTGGGACAGGTTTCAAACAACTCGCAAAGCAATGGAGAGCCCAGATGGAGGAGACCAGAGACAAGCCATACGCCTTCGTCCAGCATCAAATAGCTCAAGGCAAAGACAACTCGTCTTATCTAGCCAACCTTCTCGATTCCTCTGAGCAGTCGCCCTTCAACCAGCACAACCACAAATACTCGGCGCTGGCTGTTTTCGGAGGAGGCGCAGATACGGTGAGTGGTTCGGTCGATCCTATTTGAATCCCCTCGTTGTGATGGACACTGCATATTTACTAAGCATCCTACAGACCGTATCAACAGTCGCATCCTTCTTCTTGGCGATGATGGTGTACCCTGATATCCAGAAGAAGGCCCAAGAGGAAATTGACAGAGTTATTGGTAGTGGAAGGCTGCCGACTACCAAAGATCGGGAGAACCTTCCCTACATCGAGGCACTCGTGAAAGAAATCATGCGCTGGCACCCAATTGGCCCTATGGGTCTGCCACATTCTAGCACAGAGGATGACGTCTTCAAAGGCTACTTCATTCCGAAAGGGGCCATGGTGCTTCCCAATATTTGGTAAGTCTGTCAATGTGTTGAGGTAGTTGTTCACATTGGCTGAGACAAGTCTACAGGTGGTTCACTCATGACCCAGAGCGGTACCCCGACCCGATGAACTTCAAACCTGAGCGCTTCTTACAGACAGACGGCCACGAGCCTGAGGCGGACCCTCACAAGTTTGTCTTCGGGTTCGGTCGCCGAATTTGCCCCGGTCGCATCCTCGCCGACAACTCCATCTTTCTGAATGTCGCTCAGTCACTTGCCGTGTACGATTTCGCCAAGCCGATCGTCGACGGCAAGGTTGTTGAGCCAGTAGTCAAGTTCACCACGGGCGTCATCAGCCACCCGCAGCCATTCGAGATCTCCATCAAGCCTCGATCTGCTAAGCACGAGAACCTCATTCGCTCAATCGAGGAAACGTACCCGTGGGAAGAGAGTGATTCCAGAATTCTGGAGAGGATAGAAGTTTAGACAACATTCGGTGGCTTGCTTTTCGCGTTTACGGCCTCGCTCGCGATCGTACCCAATCTGTTGAATGCAATGTTGTTCGAAAGGGAGCCTCTTCAGGGGGAGCTGGACTTAATGAATCAAGAGTTGAATAAATGCCCTCAAACCAAGCCTGATGTATCAATGGAAAGTTGGCCCCATGCGAAACAATCACACCACAGGGTGATGTTACACGAAAGTCGCACTCTTGACTTCTGTTTCTCTCGAGTTATCTTGAGTAATTTTGAAAGTTTCTCCCTGAAAATAAGCTAAGCCCTTGAGCCGACTCGCTTCCAACTTGCGTATGCCTTCCGTTACGAGGATCCTGAGCCAGCTGGAGTCGTCTTTCGCTCCAGTATTGTCGAGATGACATTGTCATTGGTCTCGTACTCTAACAGGGCATTGTTACCCAAACCTCTCCCTTTGTATCCTCGACTATTCGATGTCTTCATCTTGTCAACAATCCAGGATTTCGAATTGAGCTTGACTGAGCATCGAACGCTCAGCCTCTCTCAACGCACTCCCGAAGGCATCGCTGCTTGCCTGCACTGAGAGTGTGCGAGTCTTCGAAAGTTGCTACAATTAGCGAAAATCAGGGGATCAACTTCAACTTACTGTGAGCTGTGACAGATATAATACTCAAGGAGGAAGGAGCAAATTACTGCTCATCATAAGAAGACCTCGCCGTCGGTAAGGAAATTACACGCTCGATAACTTACTAGCCTTGTCGATTTCGAGTACAGCCGCATCACCTCCATCGCTACTTTATGAAGTTTAACGTCCCATTCACGGCACTCGCGTCTCTAACCCTAGCTTCACCTCTGAAAACCCAAGCTCCAGAGTACGGCAAAGTCGGTGTCCAGGACAATTGGTACAACCGGGTCGTAGCAAAGTTACCGGCTAAAATGGTGGTGAAATATCACCGGCCTGCGAGTCGCTGAAGGAATTCAGACATGTTGTAATTGGAATAAGTCGAAAGTTCATCAGTAGGATACATGTAGCCTTTGAAGGGCAAGGACGAATTTTCGTAAATTTCTAGGCGCCATCATTTGCAAATTTCTGGAAGGAAGTGGCGGAGCAAAAGAGTAAATAAGTAAGGGGTTCGGAAGCAAAATGAGGAAACCTATTATCAATTCCCTTCGGGGATCCCTTCGGGATTTGAGTTGCCAACCACCTTCTGAGTATTCAGCAACGAGACGATGCAACTCTACAAGTCTTTGATTGCCAGACCAAGCAGGCGCAAAGGAATGAGGATTTTCATGGGGGATCCGTCGACCCAAATATGTCCAGGAGGGTTCAGCCCAAAATAGACACTCAGACAGGTTGGCAAGCTTGTTGTTCCTTGTTTCAGTCAATTATCTGCGATTCCGCACCCTTTTTTCTTCCCCGTCCATATCGCATCCTGAGACGCGTAAGTCCACCAGCCCCCCACAACTTTTCCACAACTTCGTTCCCACTAAGGACCGAAAAGGAGAGGGAACCAACTCGAGTTTGGATAGGGGTGGATCGTCATCGCGAACGAAGATCACCCCACCACCCGCAGCACGCTAAGACGGAAAGCCGACCGGGACCTTACGGTTCGTCGTTTCTTGAGCCGCCAGTCACGCGCTCACGGCAGTCCCCCCCCAGACCCCGGTGAGCGTCGTATGCAAAATTGCGGCAACCCGGAGTTTGCGGCTTCTCATTTCTACATGTATGTTTCAGTCTCAACCAACCCATACTTGGAATTTTAGCGCTAGAAAACCACCGCATCTAGAACCAAACAATTGAACAACTAACAGAGCCTTAGTGCGAAACCGCCGAAATCGTCTTAATAAGATGGACCCCGAGATCATGCCAGTGGGTTACGTGGTTACATGCGCGTCAGCTACAGACGTCAGCTGTGGAGAGAGGGAAAATTGAAAATGGACCCGCGATTTTGCACAGCCCTTTTGATGGAATGCCCTTAAGCTCGAAGACTCTTCCGCCCGAGGAGCCGCCCCTTCGGCGTGCGGCCTCGTTTATGTCTACGTTGTTGCCATAGTCACTGTCGTTGTCGTTGTTTGATGCCAAGCTTTTGCCAATAGCTCGGCGCTGCGATTTGGATCTCTTGTCGCTCCTTTATATCGTCTACCAGCTAAACAACCTGAGATGAGACCATCATTAGGACTGCCGGCTTTGGCCGTGGGGTTGAATATGGCGAGCGTCAGTGCCATCGATGTCACATGGACAGATGAAGGTAGGGTCTCTGGGTTTGCCGAGTCATCTTGCCTTGGCTAACGTGTTGCGATATCAGACTCAATAAAGAGTGCCGCGGGCACGGTTGCATACGGACTAGTAAAATACTACACTGGTAACAATACTGGCGATACCCCTGGAAACTTACCAGATCCCTATTACTGTAGGTCTAGTCCATGACATTGTGCTGAACCTCGTGTTGACGATTTCAAGGGTGGGAGGCCGGTGCCATGTTTGGGACATTGATAGACTACTGGTGGCTCACGGGCGATGACTCTTACAACACAATCACCACGCAAGCCATGCTACATCAAGTAGGCGACGATAACGACTACATGCCCCAAAATCAAACCCTCACGGAAGGAAACGATGACCAGGGCTTCTGGGCAATGGCCGCCATGTCTGCCGCCGAACACAAATACCCGAACCCGCCAGAGGGCTCACCACAGTGGCTCGCCCTGGTCCAAGCAGTCTTTAACGAGTACGTCAGTCGATGGGATACGGAGAACTGCAACGGCGGTGTGCGATGGCAAATATTTACGTGGAACGCCGGTTTCGACTACAAGAACTCCATCTCGAACGGGTGCTTCTTCAACGTGGCTGCGCGCCTGGCTCGGTATACGGGAAACACGACATACTCGGACTGGGCAGAAAAGGTCTGGACATGGCAGACGGATGTCGGACTGCTCACATCCGATCACGAAGTGCTCGACGGCGTTCATTTTGAGGGAAAATGCCCCAGCTCGACCGATAGCACAAAGTGGTCCTACAATGCCGGCATCTTTCTCTACGGCGCGGCGGTGATGTACAACATCACGGAGAGCGACACGTGGAAGACCCGCCTCGACGGCATGCTCACGGATGTGCAGACGGCGTTTGTTCAAAACGACATCATCTACGAGGCCTACTGCGAACCAACCGCGCAGTGCAGCCAGGACGCGCAGAGCTTCAAGGGATACCTCGCTCGCTGGCTGGCCGCCACGTCGCAAGTTGCCGCGCACACCGCGGACACCATTACGGCGCTGCTGCTGTCGAGCGGGAAAAAGGCGGCAATCACCTGTTCGGGGTCTCCTGCTTCGGGGTTCAAGGGCCATGCGGGAACGGCGTGCGGATTCTCGTGGCTGAATGAGACGTTTGATGGTATCGTGGGCGTCGGACCGCAGATGACTTCGTTGCAGATGATCATGTACAACCTGGTGGGGTCGGCTGAAGCACCCGTCACTGCTACCACGGGGGGAAATTCGACGGGCGATGTGAACGGAGGAAAGACTGATGATGGGTCGGGGTCGTCAAATTCTCTCAAGGCGATCACCACGGCGGACAAGGCCGGTGCGGCCATCTTGACGATAATGGTTTCGGCCAGTGTTGTCGCGGGTAGTGCCTTCCTCATCATATAGGAGGGGTTTTATGTTAGTCATTCAGCGAGTTTTGATTTCTCTAAGAAAATGCGAAAGCGAAGACACACCGAGGTGAAGTAGTCGGTGAAGCACCAACGCCTGAACAACGCGGCTTGGTTGGTGCCAAGCATTCTGAAGCGGAAATGTGAAAGTTTAGTATGCAGGCTCGGCATATCCTGCCAATGTCAGCTGCTTTTTGGCATGTGTTTCGCCTCTGGTTCCCCGTCTGAAGCGGGGAAGACAAATGCAGTGGGCAAGGTCTCCCGAACCAAATGTGTTCAGCTTCATGGGTTTCCTAAGAGATCTGCGCTGATGCGAAACGAAACTAAGATCGATGGATGCCACGATAGCCTGAGTAGGGAATATGTAGACTTCATCGAGTCTTACATGCCTGCTGTACGTACGTCCGAACAAGCCTTCTGTTTAGGAAAGCGTGCAGAGCACATGGGGGAAACGTGTCTGTTGAATCAACCAGTTGGCTTGCTACTTCCACTACGGTAAGATGGTTCGGCCGATTGATAGTAGTCGAAGGATTAGTGTTTGGAAAGCTGGTCACCGACGCGAGTGATCGCTTTGCGTCATGGGTAGACTTACACAGACCGTTGCAAACCTTGAGTTGGAGTCTTGAGAGTCGAGACTCTTGAGCGCCGTTCTCGGAGATATCGGACTTGGTATGCACCGACCGCCGGTGAGTGCTCATCGTCTCAACCCATAGGAGCCCGAGCCAGACCATGTTCCATGCTTGAAAGTCAAGTTGGTAGTCGATGATGTCGTGCGTAGACCGGCGGGAATTGCCCAACTTGTAATTAGTGAAAAGGTTGGCCTCCTGTGTTGTCGAATGACAACGTAACGCCGAGTACGGAGTACCCGATAATACCCAATACCATTTTTGCCGAGAAGCTCGGAGGTACTGACTGACACCACTGGCTCACCGAGCTTCACCTGGCTGAGGTGTGTCATTTGAGTCGGGGTCTACGGTGAGCTCATAACGGCCGCTTCCGGGGTGAGCTGAGCCAATGGGAAGCGTCGCATTGTTGGCTGTGGCCGATGCAGGCGCCCCGCCCCACCCACCGGCTTGCCGGTCTAAGCTCCGACCTCGATCGGCCTCCCCCCCCTGCTATTTCCATAGGTACTCCCATGCTTTTTTCCCTCCCACTTCATTCTGTTCCCGCGCACAGAGGGTGACTGGCATTCGTGCGCACCAAAGTTGGCTCCCGTTCATCTTCGAACCCCCACCTGCCTTTACCCTTACCTCACCTCACCTAGCTGCTGTTGTTGCGGCTGCTGTTGCTGCGCCTTTCAGTTGCCTGTCTTGTCAAGCCCAACCCACCAATCCCAACAATCCTCCAAGAGTCAGCGAACGACAACTTCCAACGCCAATCGACGAAACACAAAGGAACCAATCTCACAGCTTACCGCCTTTTCGGATAGGCTGCTGTGATTCTGACATGCTCTAGGCTCGAGTCTCGTGTCAAGCCTATTGTCTCTGGGTGGGTAAAGCTGGAGCCAAGAGCAAAACAGCGTCGCAGGATCGATCCCCCGCCATTTGTCAGCCTTCTCAGCTCTGGTCGCCAAACTGTGTGTGTCACCACCGCCGCACTCTGTCGAATCCTGTCCCTCAAACCCCAATTCAAACCTTCGTGAGCCTCTCTTCTCCGACTGCAACCGCCACTGCGAACGACCAAATCTCTCTTGCGACGTCTGCGTCCCTAGACAATCGACGGACGACGGACAAGACAGACGCCATGGACAACTTCTCGCCGACAAGTCAACAGTCGAACCCCACGACGCCAGCTAACGCCATGAATGCTAACCCCCACCATTCGCCAAACTCCCCAACCATTCACGACTTTCCTGCCCTCAGCCGACATGGCGCGACCTCTATACCTCCCGATCAACCCGTAGCCATGACGGCCTCCGGTCAGCCAGCCCTCAATCCCCGAAGCTGCGTCACCTGCCGCCGACGAAAGGTCCGCTGCGACAAGCAAATGCCGTGCAGCAACTGCCGCCGTGCCGTAATCCAGTGCATCTACCCGGCCCCTGGCCGCGCCCCTCGCCGTCCCAGACCGAAAGATCCGAATGCGCCGCCCAAAAACTCGAGCGAGCGCGAGGTGGAGCTCATGAAGCGCCTGCGCAAGTTGGAGGGTATCGTAGAGGAGCTCAGCGGCCAGATCGAGGTCGAGAGCGGCACAGGGAGCAACAGTGGCCGCCAGAACTCGAGCACAGGGAATTCGCCAGAGGCTTTTGGTAACGACCTGAGCTCCGAACGGGCCGGTAGCACTGCGAGCGGCGCTGCTGTCATGAGTGCATTCAAGGAGGCCGTGACGCCCAACAGGATGGAGACGGACCCAGAACCCAAGAGGCCCGTAGAGAGGCAAGTAGGAGGCATGAGCAGGTCGTTTGGCCGGCTTGTGCTTCACGACAAGGGCAAGACGAGCAGATACGTGAGCAGCGCATTTTGGTCCAAGCTCAATGACGAAGTGAGTCACCCGAGTCATGTTCTTGCTCCCAAGGTGCTGACAAGGATGCTATAGCTTGACGAGCTTCGAGAAGAGACGCATGCGTTGGATCAAGATACCGATGATTCAGATGTTGAAGATACACCAGACCACTCTCCAATACAGGATACCGACGCCGCGACAGACCACCATGCTTTTATCCTGGGATATCGGTCTTCCGATGTCGACTTGCGCAAGCTACATCCCTTGCCATCTCAGATACCCTTCATGTGGCAGGTTTACCAGGAGAATGTGGAACCGTTGCTCAAGATCTTGCATATTCCAACCATGGAGAAGCTCATCCGCGACATGCGACGCAATATCGACGAGCTGACTGCCGGTAACGAAGCACTGCTGTTTTCCATCTACTATGCAGCAATTACGTCCATGGAAGATGAAGAGGTAAGTCCATGTCATGTCAAATTTCAACGCTCCTAGCCATGACTAACCAGATCACAGGTGGAGAAAAACTTTGGTTCAAAGAAGGAAGAAATGCTCTCGCAGTATCGCTTCGCTCTCGAGCAGGCACTCGCAAAGGCCAACTTCCTCAACACTTCCGACATGGTGGTCCTCCAGGCTTTTGTCATGTTCCTCACGCTGGTCCGCAGGGAGGACGATACTCGATTCTGCTGGACGCTGACTGGATTGGCGATCCGTATCGCGCAAGGACTGGGCATCCACCGCGACGGAACAAACTTCAATCTTCCCCCCTTTGAGACCGAAATGAGACGTCGCTTGTGGTGGGCTATCTGCACCCTGGACCTTCGCTCTGCAGAAGAGCTTGGCAGCGATCTCACGATCATCGACCGATCGTTCGACACCGAACTGCCCTCTAATTTGAATGATTCAGACATTGAGCCGGGAATGACAGAGGTTCCCAAATCGCGCCTAGGCAAGACCGACTGCGCCGTATCGCTGGTGAGATACGAAATCTGCGCATTGTCACGGCGGTTGCACACGGTGGGATCCGCCATGGCTGGTGTCTGTCCAAAGGACGCCGCATCGAGTCTTGAAGAGCGCGAGCGCATGCTGATCGAAGTTTACGACCGGGTTGAGGAGAAGTTCCTCAAGCATTGCTTCACCGACGACGACCCCCTCTTCTGGATGGCGGCCATGATCGCCCGTGTTATCATGGCCAAGATGAGTCTCGTCATCTATCAACCGATGCTGTTCCCTGGCAACGGCCACGAACTATCCAACGAGATCCGCGACAGGCTCTTCATCTCTGCCATTGAGATCGTTGAATACAATTACATCCTAAACACAGATCCCCGCTGCAAGCAATGGCGGTGGCTCTTCCAGACCTACCGACAATGGCACGCGATCGCCTACATCCTCATGGAAGGCGGACGTCGGCCATGGTCAGCGACCTCGGAGCGAGGGTGGGAAGCTGTCAATAACACGATGCGATTTGATAGGGACCCGTCTGAAATTTCGAGGATGGCAGATCATATGGCTGTATGGGTCCCGTTGCGGAAGCTAAGTGCAAAGGCGACGAAGCACCGCGAGGCGGAGATTGTCCGTCTCAGAGCCGACCCGGAAGCAGCACGCCAACTGGACGTGGACGATCGTATGAATCCCATCCCGGCCAGACTTGGACCGGTGCCCGGAATGGAAATCAAGCACCTGCAAATTCGCACGCGCTGGCGGAACCTGGTACGGACAGACGGCGGCTCCAGCCCACTACCGCCGCCGGCAAACAACGTAACGCAAAATCAACCCGTACAACAGCAGCAAAGCGTAGCGCCCCGAGGTCCGATTCCCCAGCCTGCGAACCCGACAGTCCAGGCTCCGACGCCCGCACCGCAGCAGAGGGAACCCGAGTTCATCGACACGGTGATGATGGCGCGTGGGTTCAATCCCAACCACATCTGGGAGTATATCTACCCGACGGCGGAGTCCATGGCAGCCGACCCGAACAATACGCTCTTCCCGCCCAGCGCCTCGCAGCCGCAAGCGTCGCAGTCCATGATGTCCTCGGCAGTGCCGTCACCCGCAATGTCAACTGGACAGGGTCTCGATAACGATCAGCGACTCAAGCAGCAGGCCATCGCGATGCAGTCCCAACCTACGGTAGCGTCATCTCTGGGGGACAACCAGCCTCCGTGGCTGTGGTCTGACCCATTCACGTCCATCAATAATGTCCCTGTTGACTCCATGGACGTCAATATGGATAATTTGGATGACTTTAACTGGCAGAATTGGCAAGAGAGCATCAAGGGATTCGAGATGGACCCGGATAACATGCCCCAGAAGGGAGCGTGGTAAAGATGTATAATGTTTGTGGTGTAGTGTGTGCATGGCTTATTTTGGATGTGGATTTTGGATGTCTCCTCTCACGCGAAGGCTCTTGGAGAGCTATGTAATGATACCCTACGGAAGCAGATGTAATGAATGATGATCTACTTTTCATACTTGGTGCAGCGCTTCGCATCAACTATGACTGGCCATTATCGAACCCCATGCTTCATGGATTTTACGCCTCAGCCGTCACAGCATCCGCTTCAACCTGAACCCCGTCCGCCCAAATCCACTCGACGCCGACCTAACCACCATCACCATCTCCACGCCCTTGCCCTAAGAGCGGGCTTCTCTTCTACGACCTTCAATAATAACCTGGTCTGGTGGTGTAGTTGGTTATCACGTCAGTCTAACAGATCGAGAGCCTCACCTCTCTCCTCTGCCACACTGAAGGTCTCCGGTTCAAGTCCGGGCTAGATCATCACGTGGGCGATTGGTTTAGTGGTATAATGACCGCTTAGCATGCGGTAGGTCCTGGGTTCGATTCCCAGATCGTCCATCCTTTTTGAGGATTTGAGGAATGGGTGTGGGTGGTGATGTCGTGGTTGATGTTTTTGAGGTTTTGGCTGTCTTTGGTGGTGATGCTAAGCGCCGTGGTGCAGTAATACGGAGTGTGAGGGGCTCTGTTTTACTAGCGGCTCTTTTCCGTTCTTGATGTGCCCTGCGTATCTTTAAGGATGGCAAAATCGACTAAAAACCATTGTTACAGATTGCAAGTGTATTCTTACCCACAGCCTGGAGGCGAAGTACAAACGATGTGTATTCATGTGGTGAGGTGGTGTCACCTCCAAGCGAGAACAAACATACAGTTTGCTCAAGGCTGACGGGCTGATTTTCCCAGGTGGCCCCGCAACTGCAGCAGCTATGCGACCAACCTAGCCGATCAATACATTTTTCCCTTTTTACCAACGGCCTTTGCCCTCCATTCACTAGCCCAACAGATTACGACCAACGTGAACAGACTCCCTTCTCAAACAAAGACGAAGTGAATACATTTGCTGCTCTGAATGCACTGAATAGGTCTCGAACAGAACAAAGAGCGAAGCGAGCGAAGGGAGCGTTTGGATCTGGAATCGCAGGTATATGAGTCAACCTCGACCGCGATAAACGACCACTCATTCTCCATCAGCCCAAGTCAGACCTGCTTCAGCACCACGGCGCTTGCAATCAAGAAAGATTTCATATCTCGTTCGAGCACTTTATAAGGCCTGCGCTGCGAAACCTACCTGTTCACCTTTTTTCGCAGCCTTGGAAAGCTCGTAGTACAAACATGGCGCTCCCACGTTTACACGACGATCCCCAATTCCACCACATCCGATCAGGCGTCACGGCCATCATCGAGCGACATGGCAAAGTTATCATCGGGATGCGCAAGGCCAGTCACGGTACAGGTGAGACTTGAACCCCCCGGCCCTCATCACTGGAAGAACATGATGCTGTCAGCCCCCCCAAGATGCTTCTACGTTCCTCACAGTGCCTTTCGATCTTTGTGTCACCCAGCCGCTCGAGAACCTTTGGTAATAAGCGCGGTCCGCATGCTGACTGATCCATCAATGAATAGGCAAAATGCAGATGCCCGGAGGCCACCAAGATATGTGGGAGGAACCCGAAGCGTGCGCGGAACGAGAGACGTTCGAGGAGACTGGTCTTGTTGTGAAAGCCATCGCGCACGGGCCTACCACTGACGATCGATTTTTGGAGGAGAGGAAGCATTATAAGACGCTTCATATATGGTGCAAGATGGTTGATGAGACTGCTGAGCCAGAGGTAAGTGAAACAACCCCCGCGACCCCGCCATTCGTTTCCCCGGGTCTGGGAGTGAGCGAGGGTGACGTTGGATGCTCGAGATGAGGCGAAGAAATATCATGACTAAGTTTATATTGAAAACAGGCAAAGGAGATGGATAAGTGTGACAAGTGGATGTGGAAGTCGGCGGAGGAGCTGGAGGAGTATTATCACCAAGGCAAGGCGTTTGAGCCATTGAGGAACCTGGTCAGGAAGGTTCCTCAGAATGACTTTCTTGAGGAGCTCAGGAAGCGTGCCAGTGCCTACGAGGATGCTGTTAAGCTAGCTGAGCAGGCTGAGGTTGACGAGCAGACCAAAGTCGATGAGCAGACTACAGACGCGGAAGTAGACACTACACAGTAGAGCGTCTAGACCTTACATTGAACATCAGGGCCGAGGGATCTAGACGTCTAGGACGTTAGCATTTGATTTTACGTCATTCTAGTACCGCAGTTCCATCGTAAGAAAAGAAAAAAAAAAGAAGAATAGAAAAACCAGTACATACTAAACGTCTTGCGCAAACAGGCGCAGAGTCTGCGAGAACCAGCAACAAAAGTCGCAACAGAGCCGGGGCCGGCCCCGCGGTGTCATGCATGATTTGCTCCTTCGGATATCTCGCACTTTCACCAGAATACCCACAGGCACTTGTATCCGTAGTCGGGCTGATGGGGTTGCCTCAAATCATCAAGAACCTTGTATGGGATGGTCTTTGTAGATCTCACTAGGGCAGAGACGCAATTACGGCTTCGAGATACAAGCTTTGGGTGGTTGAGAAGTGGTTAGGCTGGGCCCAGAGCCGGGCCATTGGGAACCAAAGTTCCTTTTCAACCACCTTCCTGCGCTGCTGCGCGTGGCAATCGGGATGGCTTGGGCCACTGCGGGCGACAATTTTGGGAGAGGGAGTTGGGCTGTTTCCATGCATTAACGGAAAGGCTCGATGACGTTTCAATTGCTGCTGCTATGTTTGGGTGAGCGATGGAAGTGATGATGCGATGTGGGAATTGGAACATGTTACCGCCCCCCAAGGTCTGTAATATCGGGTCTCAAAGACGGAGCCGAATCAGTGTTCAAAGAACCCAGACAGAGCAGATCCGCGAACAGCACCTATGAATTGGATAAAGCAAGGATGGGACCCCGGCAGCCCGGTGCATCGTTCGCAAAATTTACAGCTCGTAGCCCGGGACTTTCAGATCAAAGAATGAAATACTCTTTAGAGTTCAGTTTTGGCCCCGAAGACCTCCGGAAGTACGGGCCCTACGGAGCACGAATACGGACAATCTCAGCGAGTGTCGAGTCTCAGCGGCGGCCGACCCCTGTCCTCTTCTGACGGAGGCTGCAGCCGAGATTTGTCAATTCGAAATTTGGCTGTCACTTTACCGGGGGCTGGGGCTGCAATCCTTCTGCCTGGAGGATTTGCTTCAGGCCTTCCAGGTGGCTCCATCTTGAACACGACGTCAACTCCGCGCTGGGAGAGAAGCCTGGGTGGGAAGTGAGGAAATGCTTCTTCGTATTAGCGTTGTTGGCTGTTGCCTTGGTAGACAAGTGGAGATCATAAGTGAATGTCGACATCTGCTTAAGCATGTCGGATGTGAACTCCGTTGAACGGGGGACTCGCCTGGGTCTACAGGATTGCCTTCTTCCATCGTTCAGATCTATCGAGTGGTTTCTGAGGAATTAAGTGCTGGGTTCTCGTATGTGATTACAAATTCATCCTTCCTGATAATTGAACTTCCCAGGAACCTGGAATGAATACGTCTTCCGATCTGCTGGGTCGAAGATGAGGTCTCGTTGGCCGCGAGTAACTCGGCCTCGAAGCTCGCAATGAAACTCTGTAACATGCTGTGATTGAACAGTTTGCCGCGCAGACTGCGTTGGCAGCCGGGCCCAAAGGGCCGTCTATGGCAAGTGCCTCAAGCGGCAATTGAACAGCGATCAGTGGCTTAGACCAGGCCAGGGCTTCCCCTCCAGAAGTATGAGCTTGGCGGTTACCGTTACATCTTTCTGCAGCCCTGATACAAGTCTATCGAAAGCATGAGTTGATGAGGCCGTTCCTACACAAGATGGCAGGGTGCCATTGGCAGCTCAGCTCTACTAATACTGTGTCAGTGAGAGACTGAGAGCCAGGGAGAGAGAGGCAGAGTTTCAAATCTCACTTGCATCTCGTAGGCCCTGTCATCTCATCCTCCCCATGTGCACGGCCGCTGGCAGAGTCCTTCGACCGCCTTAATGAGCTGCCAACGGCCTACTGGGTCATCTTCTGGTCGCCCTACCGCCCCCCTGGTTAGCGGGCGCAACTGCGCCAAGGATCATGACCTTGCCCGTTGGACACCATCTCGTTGCCTACGAGCTTTGATGGGGGCACCCATTACGGCTTGCGGCTTTCGATGCTGCTATGCCCTATGGGGAAGTGTCTTTCGAGATTGAGTGATCGATTGGAGTAAAGGAAGAACCAAAGTCCCTATTCCCAAGCCCAAGAGCGTCAACGATGCTGCCCGCCTGTAGCGGACGGGCAAGGGTTGGGGACATGACTAGGTTCTTGCTTTCCCCCAACAGGTCGATCATTCATCACGGTCTACGGAGCCTTGGAGGATCGCTTGTCCTGTGCGTCTCCCCTGCTCTTGAAGGTTGACGAAGGTCTTGAAGGATGGGCCGGGGCTTTGATTATCTGCTTGCTGCTAGCCCTCCTCTTCTGGGTGTTGTAAGTGTATATCTTGGCTGCCACCCCTCCAAACCGGCTTGCGATGTGATCCTTCAGAATTTCTGCCTTTTGAGTTCATACCCTTTTATTGCATACCTTAGTCACATTCTCCCCTTGACTTTCTTAATCTCGTTCGTTACTACATACCCGAAGTATCTATCCATCGAGTCGATTAGTAGTGGACAGAAGCGAGGGGCGCGTCACATTATTCGAATCAACAATGCCATCAAGTTCACCGGAAAGACACTTGGTCGCACCGGACAACAGCAACATCGCTTCCAGACAGGCATCCCAAGACTCGGACCGCGAAGTGAAATACCAAACAGGATTGATGCCCGCCGAGTATGCGGGCCTCGAGGTGGCCTCGCCCTCACCGGGCATGAAGTACTACCAGCCTGCGCCGGGCGCCGCCCCTGAACCGGTACCGGCACCGGCACAGGGCGGATACGCGCCGTACCAAGATCAAGATCAGCACAACGGCTCCGGGTACAAAAGCCACCAGTACCCCGCACACTCGACGGCCGGAACGGGGTACGGGGGAAGCCAGGCAGGGATGCCACCAAAGAAGGATAAGAGGATATGGGGCATCCCAGTGGCCACGTTTTGGGTAGCCATCGTCGCGTTGGTCTTCTTTCTGGGGACGATTGGAGCGTCTGCTGCGGCGGGAACGATCGCACAGGCGCATGCGGCGTATGTGCAGACGTGCCAAGCGTAAGTGAACATGAGCAGTCAAATTTTGGAAGCAACAGAGTCTGACACCAGAGCAGCAAACTCGAGCAATCATCATCACCATCAGCGTGCGCTTCGAGCGGATCATCAGCAGCATCCGCATCCGCATCAGCCTCAGGAGCCTCCGCGCTCTCAGCATCAGCCTCGGCAACAGCATCGTCGGCATCTTCTACTTCAACCTCACTCGCCTACATCCCGCTCCCAGGCCAAGCGTCCTCGATTCTGGGCGAAGCGACGACGAACTGCCCCGACCTCAGCTCAGAGAACAAGACGTACACGGTGCCGGACTCGAATCTGCGCTTCGTGCGCGAGTGCGGCAACAATTACCCAATGAATGATCTCGGACACATCCCGCTGACGAGGATGGAGGACTGCATGAACCTGTGCGCGGCGCTCGCTGTCACGACGCAGAGCGCCGATGGGCCTTGTGTGGGTGTCGCGTGGGTTACGGCGGGGAAGCAGGGGACGGATGAGAATTATTGCTGGTTGAAGAGTGCCAAGGGGGCACCGGATCCGAAGGCGAATATTGAGGCTGCGTGGCTTGTGAGGACGTGAGAGAGGTGTGAGGCTGTGGTGAGTTAGAGTTGTGAGTGAGATGAGCGAAATGTGATGAGAATGAGATGAGATAAGATGAGATGAGATGGGACACTTCTTAGTGGCGTTGTCGTCTGCAAACTCCAATGCCACGATTATCACGTTAATCTCTGGCAATTAACCCTTTCAAGTATCTAACATAGTGGTCTTCCTCGTCGACAAGAACCTGGTCCCCTCTGCCAACCGGGACATGATCTACTTCATGGAATGAAATGTGGTTTTCCCCGTCAACAAGAGTCTGGTCTCCATCTTTCACAAGAGCCTGGTCCTCTCCGTCAACATAGACTTGATCTTCTTCGAAGTGCTCCATTTTCACGTCTCGAAGGCCGGTGCTGCCGGACGGCAAGTTGTTTACGTTTTCCAATGGTCCAGAGGGCTGACCCCTGAAAATGCTGGGTGTGGCTGAAAGGGCATTCTGGACCTGGCCTGCGTCTACCCTTGCGCCCCAGATATTCCGTGGTGAAATGAGGAGGATCCTCCTATCTGCCGGTGGAGCTAGGCGGGTTGATGAGATCCCTGTGCAGGGTCAACCTCAATCGTTCCCTGCCGTAGATACAGATGTATGCTGTATAGTGCTCATCGAGAATCCCGCCCAGAGCCGCGCCGTCCACGTAAGCAAGAGAAAAGGATTTCTGCGACTTGGGGGGATATGCTACCTCCGGATAAGGAAATGGCAACATCATGATCTTCAGTGGCTGTTTGTTCCAAATGATGGTACCTCTACACATCGACCCGCCGGCTTGGAACGTGCGAGGTGGTCGCATTCGAGGCAGAGAACACCGTTGGGGATGTTGACGTGGCCCCAGTTCTCGCACATGTTGGTCGACGAAAGCGAGAACCACACGGGAGTCTCGAGCGAGTGTGTAGGTAGAGATGAAGAGTCGACTGCTGGTCGATCGAGGTTGAGACACTTTTGGAACGCAGACATGCCACGTTCGGACTCCGTGAAGTGCCATTGATGAACAAGCCGTGCGTATTCCCTCTTATCTTGTGTCCGCGAATCCTTAGCCTGTTGTTCGGCCTTGTTCTTCGCTTTCTGTGAGTTCCTTCTCTTCGCTTCCTCTTCTTTCCGTCTCTCCTCGGCTAGCCAATATTCAAGTCCCTCCGGAGACTTTGCTAATTTTGCCAACCTGTTCTGATTGTTCTCATATCTCCTGTATTCGCGATTAGACTTTTGAGGAATGGCGTCGGGTTTGGACAAGGATTCTACGAAGCGTGAATGGCGCTCAAAGCACTGGAGCAAGCTATCACCGCTTTGTCTCTTTCCATTTCGTCGATCCTTGCCCTTGCCTTTAGTGATACCTTTGCCGCTACCTTTACCCTGGTCGCCGCTCGAGTTTTGACCATTGCGGTTGGCCTCGCGGCTCTTGCTTGGTTTCTTGGAAGCCATCGTGAAGCAAGGGCAGAGACCTTGCGAGTCTTTAAGTATGCACAAAGGTGTTGAATCAGGTCTTTATTGATGAAGAAAGGGAGCAAGGGGAGGAGGAGGAGGAGGAGGAGGAGGAGGAGGAGGAGGAGGAAGGGTATGAAGAGGAAGGCCATAAAGGAGATTATCAAGAGGGCTATGAAGAAGATGAGGAGGAGGAAGATTACGAAGAAGACGAGGATGAACCGGATGCGGAAGAGACTGATTCTGAATATGGGAATGAGCCGTACGATCTCGACGATACGAAATCTTGCCTCAAGGAGCCGCCAATACGCTATTGGCGAGGATCAAGTCCACCTACAGATGATTACAGGCCTCGACCTCCACCACTGCGCTCTACTCAACCTGACCCCGAAGGGCAAAAGGCAATTCTGAATGGACGTCCGGTAGAACTTTGGTATGTGGGCAAGCCTCTTGACGAGGCGAAGGAGTACCGACACTCTAACCCTACTTTCCGGGCAGACTGGCTCCAAGAGGAGGTCGAAGCGAGGTGGTCTATTTACAATACCGAGGTTCAAGCATGTGAAATGGATATTGCGCTTCGCTACAAGCTACATGAGGAAATGAAGGCTAGAGTCGTCCAAGAGGACCAGGCGATAACAGCGGTCCGGAGGGAGTTGTGTTCCGCGCCCTTTCCGCAGTTCGATACCCCTACTACATACACCGGGGACGAGTACCACGGCAACCGGTGGGGGCTTTATTCGCCCGAGCTTTTAAGGACCTACTCCAACCCTTTCATGGAGTGCAGTTCTCATAACTATTTTGTCATGAGTAGAGAGAGCGACCGACAAGACTGTACGCGCTATTGCAATGCCTCCATCCACCTCACTTACCGCGAAGTCACAATCGACCTGTGCCCTGAAGAGTGGCCCAGAACAGCAAAGGGCTTCAACAAACCATTCTTCGCTAGTGTGTCAGAAGTTGCTTTCGACAACTACGCCAACGAAGAGTGCCACCTCATAATCAAACCTCAAGCGCGGGTAGCGGTAGCGCTCGTGACCTCGGAGTTGATCAAGATATCAGTGCAAAGCAGTCTCATCAACCCCCCAGATCATAGGGACAAATGGGAGGCTCGCGAGAACTTTGCCGGACAAGTTCCAGCCGTCTTCGAGTTCTACGGGGTACTGGAAAGGAAGAGTGATGGAGAATATGACGCGGTTGATTGTGAAGCAGTCACGCGTTTGTGGAGGTCAAGGGCTAGACGAGACAGAGAAGCGTTCGATGGGAAGAACAGAAAGGTGAACGTGGAAACACAAGTGGAAAGTACTGAGCCAAGTGGTGTACCACGCGTTGTGCTTTGGCCGGACTCGCCATGGTGACTTGGAGCATTGAAAGTGGAAGGCAATAGAATCGACTTCTGTTAGTCGTAAGCCATGGAAGTGGCATACTTTAAGTGTCATAGCATTCAAATTGAGCAGTGTGTTTTCTCAGTGGCAACACTACCTTGTGATATCTGGTTGCTGGAGGGGATCTTGCTCCACAGCCAAACGGACATGGAAGCTTGCCGAAACCGACCAAGTCCGTCACCATAGACAGCGTCGCCAGAACCTTGCTAGATTTCTTCAAAGTGTAATCAATTTCACTTGATTACAGTCGTGCTGCAAGAGCAACAATCCGCCGCAAGCCTTCGAGAATTTGCGATCTGCTGTGCTGTTACGGTCGACGGCTGATCAGGAGGGTCACTGCTCGATTTCATCTCGGGAAAAGTTCATCACCAGGCACACCGGGCATGAAGAGATATATGCTTGATTGACCTGCAAATCCTGCAGTTATACAAGTATTTACAGCTCGAACCGAACCCTTGACTCCGAGACATCCAGTCCCAATCCCAAAGGACCAGTCCAAAAGCGTGATATACAGAGAAGAATAAGATACACAGACATTGGACTCCAAGCGACCAAGTAAAACCAGCCTTCCTGGATTTTCTTCGCGGTCAACAATAACGAAATAACCACTTTAGCAGCCAGATGTCTTGACATCAGTCTGCACGCAGATCTTCGGATCATCAGCCGCATTACCAGGCTCGCCACCGCCAGTGACACCCTTGGAGTTCTTGCACACCGTGGCACCGCCAATGACGCAAGCACCATTAATGGTGACTTTATCACCGAGGTTGCCGTTGTAGTGGGCGACCGTCTTGCCGCCGTCGACGTAAATGTTGTTAAAGACCGCAGTGCGCGCAGTCTGCTCCTTGCAGTTACCGCACGAGCGCCAGAACTGGCCGACGTTCTTTGCGTAAAAATCAGAGACCTCGAGCGTGCCGCCACCGTTGTGCTGGAAGAGCTTATCGGGGGCGTCGCGGGCACCGCCGCCCTTGACCGTGGAGGTGCCGCCGGTCTGGCGGAAGGTGGCGCCGTCTTCGCAGACCTTGTCCCACCAGCTGTTTCTCAGGTATCAGTCTACGGTACTGGGTGAAAAGATAGAATGGATTTGACTTACACATTGACGAGGTTGCAGCTGCCCTGGCACTGAATACCCTCTCCGGCACCGGCTCCAATAATCACGTTGCTGAGCGTGGCGCCGTCGGCCAAGATGAAGGCTGCGTCCTTTTGTCCGCCCTCGCTGCCTGTGCAGGTGCTAGGGACACGGTCATACAGCTTCATGCCGCCATCGAAGTTGCCGGAAATGGTCTTCGCCGCGGAGAGGTTCTCGGTGCCGGCGGGTGTCGGGAAGGTCTTTACGATGCTACCGCTGCTGCCGCCGCTGCCGGAACCGCCGCCACCACCGGGGGAAGTGCCGTTGTTGGCTGTGCTGCCGCCTCCAGTGCTGCCGCCACCACCGGAGCTGCCGGATCCTGAGCCACCAGAGCCTGAACCTGAACCGGAGCCCGAGCCTGAACCGGAGCCTGAACCGGAACCGGATCCAGATCCGGATCCAGAGCCGCTGCCGCCCTTCTTCTTGTCTTTGTTCTTATCCTTGCTTTTGTCCTTGCTCTTGTCCTTACTCTTGTCCTTGCTCTTATCTTTACTCTTATCCTTTGCCTTCTCGGCGCTCGATCCAACTTCGGGAGTGTCCTCGCAAGTTCCATTGTCACCCGGGTTGGCATATCTGATCTCGACTCTGGCGGGACCTTCGACAGGTGCGCCGCGGGGCTGCTGAGGCGCCATGACGGCGCGGGCGAGGTGTCCAATGCCGCCAACGTGTCGGCGGGCCGGCCGCTCGTAGCCATCTGGGTTGATGGGGTTCGCGGCAGCCAGTGCGGCAAGGGAGAAGAGGACCAGCCGGGACGCCATTTTGATGATGGTCTCGGTGAAGTAGGTGGTCTTGAGGGGGTGTAAGGTTGATGTTGTTGATAGTACCAGACTTTGTGTGTAAGAAAAGAAAGAAACACAAGTAAATACAAACGAGATGAAACAGTGAGAGTATGTAGGAGAAAAGGTGTGTTTGAAGGAGGGGAGTGAAGAGAATGTTTGTTTGGCGATGAGAAGCCTGATGTGGAGAGAAGGTCTGCTCGTAAAAGGAGGACGAAGAAGGCTGCCTTATATCATGTCTTGAGGCTCACTGGCACTGCGTAGTCTAAGGCCTTTAGAGGTAGTTGTTCATCGCATTTGAGCATGCCCCTGTGCTCTGTAAATTGCAAAGTGATTTAGTATGGAGAAACCTCACCGGTAGCCCACATACAGAGGCAAGCCAAGATGTTTGGATATATTCGATGACCGCCGAGGCTTCTCCACAATCTTGTGTTAATTGATGAGATCAGCAAAAGATATCAGCCTCTTGTACGAGAGGTGGGCCAGTACTGTCGGTCTTCTTCTACGGACGGGACGGACATTTGATGTGTTCTATCTGTCAGGGGTCACAGCTTCATTGCCTGAGAAAGAACATGGACCGGCGGCATCTCTCAACGGCAGGCACAAGAGAAGGAAGTGACAGTCACAAAGCAACCGGAACTGGTCAGTGTTAGCAAAAGTGTCAAAGTGGAACTCATTCAGGAACAGCTATGCAATATGGGTCGTCTGGTATAGATTCGACCCGTCCGGGATGGCAGCTCCAGCGGGAGATGATCCGAAAGTTCGTCCCGCCTGTGTGGTTGGCTATCACCTAGTATAACCAACAGTTCCAGCCGTGTAAAAAGAAAGATTAACATAAGGCCAAGGTGGGAGAGCGGAGGCGGGTTGATTGCACATCATATGTCAAACTTGCTAATGGTCTGGGCATTTTTGAGTTTGTAGCCCTTTGGGTGGCCGGATGGTCTTGGCCTCTTTGCGATGCTTTTGCTGCTTTTGCTGCTTGTCTCCAAGGTTCATGTCAGGTAAGAGTTGACGTTCCTGACAGGCTGACAGGTGCTTTCTAGAAGAGGGGAGGGGGACCCCTCGCAGGTGGTGGGGTTGCTTGATCCAATCTACTTGACTCCTATCCGGTCAAGGGGTAGAGGTCGGGCGAGCCGATTAGTCTACGGATCCCGGAGATCTCGGGGCGGGCACGGGGATGGTTGCTATCCGTGCGGAGGAGGGCGTCTGCCGGGTTTCCTCCAGATTGAGGCAGAGCTCCAGCCTACACTATCCGTACATGATGTCGTTGACTGATCTCTCTCTCTTGTTCGGAGTCTCGGTTGTGCGGAGCACGCCTGGGGTTGCGGGAGGCCCTCTTCTAGTATCCGCCTGGCTGGGCTCAATGCGACCTTATTTTGAGGCTTAACGAGTCGCCGAGACAGGCTTATTTTTATTTTCAACGACGATGGAGGGTTCAATATTCGTGACGTTCGACGTCGTGCGTCACTCATTCGAGAGCACGGAGTCCTCCCGAAGGTTGTTTGTTTGCCTCATTATTAGAGTTCAATCACGTAGTGTACGGTAGCAAAACTCTGATTCCCGCTCCGAAAGACTACTCTCTGGGACCTGATCTGCAACTCAGGGGGGCAGTGAGTTGAGGCGGGCAGCAAAGTAAAAAAATCCGCTGACTGATGCATCTTTGTGATAGAGTTCAGGCCGCCAAGAGACGCTTTGCGCGCCAAGACACCACAG